AAAAGACAACTTGGCAAAATGGAACTACCTAGAAGAATCCTCCACCTTGTGTGACTGTGGAGAGGAACATACATCTCGGCATCTGTATGCTTGTCTTTAATGCCCTGCCTCATGTACAGAGGAAGAATTGTTTAAAGCTACAGACAATGTGATTGTTGTTGCCCATTTTTCGTCAAAAGATATTTAGCCACTTGTGCTCCTTCTATTTTTATCAGTTCTGTACTAATTTATGCAATGCTTTTGATATGAAATAAAATAAATTAAATAATCTCAGTTAAAGTAGCAGTAAACTGCATTAACTCTACACTGTAGATGCATCCCTAGCTGGTGTGGCTGCTGTGAACCATTCAACCAGTTCTATTTTTATCTTTGTTTTGCCTTGAGTCTTGGGCTATTAAAGCAAGAACAGAGAACATAATTAAGTGTCAATTCCTGTGTTGTGTTCCCCCAGCAACTTCTTTCATTGTACTCCTAGTTAGAGTATATCCTCCCTAGAGGGTAAGCATCTTCTTGTGCCAAACTGCTCCCCCTCCCCTTCTTCTCTCAGAAGAATGAATGTTTGAAAACAATTGCTTTGGGGAACAAGGTACCCCCCCCCCCCAATCTGCCTCTCTAGACTGTCAAGGTTAGAGTTGCTTTTGTCAATGTTCATATCTTTAGAACTGAATGGGATCAAATAACCCAAAATAGGTATAAACAGAAGTTGAGTGTCTGTTGTTGGCTGGCAGGGGAAAGAACTAAAAGCAGGAGAGGGCAAAACCATTGCTGTGCTAAAGAGAGACTTCCCATGCAATCCTCTTAGTGACTTGTTCTGATGTAAGTGGGGTTTATGCCAATTATGCCATATTGCCTTGTGCAATGGTTCTCCCCAGATGCACAATGGCAGCTGCACAGTTTTACCCCCTGACCCAAAAAGCTACTGATTGGATAGAGAAATGAACTGAAATGCCCTTGCCCTCAATACCAGGCTTCCTGTGTCCCTCTTTCCCAGACTTCTTGTATAACAATAGAGTGTTATACTCCATCAGAAATACACACAATTTTGGCCACTGTCTGTATAGAGTACGATGAAGTACCTGAGACATCTCTTGCCTGATCTGAGAAAGAAATATAGTATTCTATCTTATTTCTCTAGAATTAAACATTCCAGCTGTAAAGAACAGTGAATTTACATATAAAAAAGAAACTCAGGATTTCTATAGCAAAAATGTCATGCTTTCTCTACCCAAGATACTCTGTCACGGTTGTGGAGTGTCAATCTCCCAATGCAGAGTTCCCCATTGGTTCAGCTATGCAACCCTTATGCTAAATAGTAGGCCTGGGTAACAACGGAAAAATTTGTTTCTAAAATCGATTTGTATTTGGGTTTTTTTTTGTTTCGATATTTAAAATAATTACAAAATTTTCCTTTTAAAAAGTTCGATATTTACGAAATTTCGTAAATGGTAAAAAATTAACGAATCGATTTCCGAAACAATAACGAATCGATTCGTTAATGGCGGACGCTACCGCGAAATACGCTAAAAAACCTCCAAAACCTTCTGAAGCTTCCCTCTCCCTCTGTTGTTGACTGTTGTGTGATATTATAATTTTTTTTCACTAATTAAACCATAAAACTGGCCCAGACATGCGGAAATAATAACGAAACGACCTCAAAACAATAACGAAACGAATACAATATCGAAATACGAAGCATTTATAAAACGTTTTTGAAAATTCGTTTTTTTTAATAATTGCTCCAGAATGGTTCGTTATCGTTTTGTAATTGAAAAAATTAACGAATTATTAACGAATTACGAATTAACGAAACGAAACCGCCCAGCCCTACTAAATAGCAATGTGGTACAACTTAATGTATACCTGAAAGTACAAGCAAATGGGGGAAAATGTCTATTGCATGATAGTACACTCACACAAGAGCACTGAATGTACAAGTCTGCTTCTGCAACTTTAAGTTGAGTGCAAATATCATACATTGGCAAACATATCAAACTATTTCTACAGAAGAACATAACACTTGCACCATTCACTGGAAGGATTCTCGCTACTGTGTTTTTTGTCTACCATCAAGTTTCCAATTGTCATTTATATTCATGAGGAAATATAAGTGCTATAAAGATAGTTTACTACTGGTACTCCAGCAGACATTGATAGCGTTATGATTCCACTGTAACTGCCATGGCTGCATCCAATTGAATACCAGGATTTGGAGTTTGGGGAGGGCTATATAAGAATTTGTGCCCAGAAAATGCGAATGCCTTATGAAACTACAGCTATGGCAGTTGAAATGGAATCATAGTGTTGTAATTGTGTACTGCAGTGTGAAAGTGCATCAAGTTCTTTTTAAATAATCCATATTTAATGACATCCATCATGCATTAATCCAGTCTGGTTTTGCCTAAAGACAAAGTGCACAATCCTGCGCCCACTTACCTGGGTGTTGGTTCATTGAAACTTATTTCTGACTATGGTTGTTATTGCCTGGAGGGCCATTTTGTGTCTAAAATGTAATTACCCACAAATAAGGAGAGAGAGCGGCAATTAGTGGCTATTAGTCATAATTTCTATGTGTTACTTGTAGTATTAGAGGCAGTCTATGTTTGAGTACCAGTTGCTAGGAAATATGAACAAAAAGATACAATTTCCTTTGTGCTTTGTTCATGGATTCGCAATTGACGTATCTGGCTATCTATTCTGGAATTGAATGTTGGACTACATATACTCCTAGTCTGATGCAGCAGGGCTCTTATATTTTTATAATGTGATGTTCTGGTTTGCTCCAGGGCAGTTGAACAGTTATATTCAGATGATGGTAATGTTGCATATTGGGAAGTCCATTTCAACACTTTCAGTACATAAGCTACACTGATCATTCTATATGTGATCAATGTAGCTGATACATGAAACCAATATGGGTTCTCAATTAATGTTGGAGAGTCAAATTATAAAGTGTCTTATGTTTTCCTCAGGATGTTGCTTAAGTTGCAACTGATATCCAAACAGGAGGATGGGAATCTACTTTCTGACTGAGGCTTCAGATGTACATTACTGGTACATGCATCTATCTATTTACGTATCTATCATCTATTGCCCTGCCTAAGGTTTCAGGTCACTATATTCCCATCTGTCAGAGCATTATGCTATGGGAGGTCATGGGGAAAGACTTCCTCTGCAGTGGCACCCCAGTTATGGAGTACTATCGCTTTATAGGCCCCATTGATGTCAATGCTGTTGTGCTTCCTACATCAAGTAAAACATGGCTGCTTATTAAATCATTACAGGGCATTTGATTAATTTTAAATTATTTTAAGCTGTTTCAACTACTTCTGAATCATTGTTTGATATGTTTTTAGCTGATTTTTTGTGTCAGGAGTGACTTGAGAAACTGCAAGTCACTTCTGGTGAGAGAGAATTGGCTGTCTGCAAGGATGTTGCCCAGGGGACACCTGGATGTTCTACCATCCTCTGGGAGGCTTCTCTCATGTCTCTGCATGAAAAAGCTAGAGCTGACAGACAGGAGCTCACTCCACTCCCCAGATTCGAACTGCCAGTCAGCAGTCCTGATAAATTATTTTAGCTGATAAATTATTCTTATTGTTTTCAATTCTTTTAAACAATCCACATTGATGTTGTCCTTGGATATGGGATGTCATTATTTGAATAAATACATTAATAAATATTACCAAAGTTTGTACTTCACATACATAGCCTCATGTGCTTTTTATGTTTTATGGGCAGTGGTTTACATCAGCCTGACATGTGCTTTGATCTCTCACTTTTTGCCTAAAATGCTCCTATGAAGGCATGTAGCCGGGGGTGGGGGGGGGGGGGGGGGGGGGGGGTTGGGGGGGTTGAGAAGGTTTCACCCCCCCCGAAATTCTCATGGTGGTCCGCGAGAAGGCCTTACTGGTACATTATTTAAACTGTTATGTTTATTCATATCATGATCTGATCACCATGCTCAATATATCCCATATGCATGGGGGTATTGGGGTAACGATACAAAAGGTTTGCTAGAGTAGACCCTCTTTCACTCAGACTCAGCCCCCCCTGGAATCAAACTCAGCCCCCCCCCCCCAAATCAAAATCCTGGCTACGGGCCTGCTCCTATGTGAAGAATGCTCCCACGTACCTGGTTCTCACCCCTTTAGATTATGAACCGTTCTAGTAAAATGCTTCTCTGAAATATGAAAAATGGCAACAACAACAACAACCAAAAAATTAGTGAAGAAAAAACAGATGGTGCAAAATTGACAAAATTACACCGGCATCATTAATCAGTCTGACTTAAGGGTAACTTTCACTGTCACCTTATATAGCAAGAAATTAGACCCCAAGTATCAAAGGAAGAGGAAGCTGTGAGAAGAAATCTCCCTTAGCATCCCAGGCTTAATTGCACCTGCACATTTTCAACTGTGATCATCTTTCATGTTTATTTCCTCCTTTCACCAAGACACCTTAGTAAAAGGGCAAATATCACCCATTTTGTAGAATTGTTTGAGGGACTTGATATGTGCATCATAGTGCACCCAGACTGAGTTTTTTTGTTTGCTATATATATATATATATTTCCTGAAATCCGAATCTAGGTGGGATTAGGTGATCACTTCTTCACCCAGCTCTATGGATTTTATTTTGGTGTCTTGCTCAAATCAACTGCACCAGTAATTCTCAACCTGTGGGTCCCCAGATGTTTTGGCCTTCAACTCCCAGAAACAGCTGGTAAACTGGATTGGATTTTTGGGAGTTGCAGGCCAAAACACCTGGGGAACCACAGGTTGAGAATCACTGAACTACACGTTTCTGACTTCAAAGGGGAAGCTATGTAGGTCTATAAGATTTGGATGAGAATATTGACAAAAGGGAGCATTTGTTGTGCCGTCGCGCTTGGGGGCTATTAGTCTTAATGAAGGAGGGATGGACATGGCACCTTTCCCCCAAGGGATTGCTTCTTACCCTCCTATAGGAAACTGGAACTCCCAAAAACCCAAAACACTGTAAATAGCTCAAGATAAGTTTTATTTATCACAAAGTCATTTCTTCAAAGCAATGAGCTGGAAAACTTTAGAGGGGTGAAGGAAAACATAGGATACAGTCTCAATTAGTCCTGTGTCCAAGGGATTTGAAGCTGAGAAGCCTCACCAAGTTTCCTCTTTCCTCAATGGCTGTGAATGCCGGAGCAAACCACAACCCCAGTTCAGATGGCCTATGTTTTGAAGACTCAGGATCTTCCCTTGGTGCCAAAAGAACCGGCTTGAAGGCACTTGGGATCTCCTCAATGTTATCCAGGACGATCTGGACATAAAGCATGAGTCCCAAGGGTAAAAAACCTCAGAACTGTTGCTAAGAGGTAATTTAAATCAGGGTCCTTTAGAATCAAGTCTTTTACTTACATCCATGTGGCATGAACTCTGATGGCAGAATGAAGAAGAAAAAGGAAGCTCTCCCTTCCTGCAGGAAGAGGTGGAGCCAAACAGTACTGATTGACAGCTACAAGCAACCAATCCATACAACTATACATAAGCAGGGTAAAAAGGGGCAGGATTAAGCATGATACAACAGTTTAAATCTTACAACTAACAGTTCTATACATAGGTGGCGCCACTCGCGCTGTCACATTTGTACATACCTGTTCTTAGTTCTTGGCAGTTAACTTTTATTTTGGCTGAAAGAGCTAAATGAACAATAAACGAAGAACTCAGAATTGATGTATGTACTATGAAGGCATTCAGACTGTCTCACTGCGTTTTAGTTTTTAGCAAAGTTTATTTTAATTTCTTTATTTTATTTAAGCTAATTTTGAACAACACAAATATTTCATTTTGCTTTTTGAGGAGCATCTCATGATGAAGGAGATGAACATTAATTTTTAAAAATATGAATCTTGCTCTTTTCCTGGGAATATATATTTTAAGATTTTTCTCTTTGTAGATTGGTTGTCTACTGGACATGTTGTGCATTACGATATCTATGATTTCTGTGATGCCTTGAATTCCTTGCCTTCCTTCTTGGGGAGGATCTGGTGGTCCTCAGCTGGAACTCTACTGGGAAGTGATCACTTACAGCTAAAGCCTGTGAAAGAATGTCACAGAAGGCATGGTGTAATTAGACATCATGTACTTGTTCCAATACATTACACAAGTGTTAGACATGAACTCAGTTCTGTGTAGAATAGTTGCCATTTGCTATGACATGATAGCATTCAGAGACCAGTCTCTGCCAGGTCTTGGTGTCTTCTAAACAGGGCCATGGCCAGAAAAAAAATTCGGGGAGGGTTGAAAATTTTGGGAGGGGTGTGTGTGTGTTGAAACCTGCCTCCTAGCTCACGCTGAAGCAAAGAGCACAATAGCCTGCAGCTCCGCCCCTGTCAACCACCTCCACCAAGTCTGGCCTCCTTAATGAGAGCATTCAACACTCCCCCCCCCAACTTGGTTGCTTCGCTACATCGGCTATTGCTGCAAGTAATGACAGTGTGAATAAATTGTCAATATTTGCTTGAGATAGTGCTTGCAGTTCTGGAGGGACTCTTAATTTTTTGCGTCTCATAGACTTAGCATGGGGATTTGGTTAACCAGTTAAAATTCATGAGTAAACCAGGTTTTTTTTTAACCTGAAAAATTTCAGGGGGGGGGGGTTGAACCCCCCCCCCCCCCCCCCCGGCTACAGGCCTGCTTCTAAATCAAAGATAACATAACTATTATGGAAGTTGCCCCAAGATTGCCTGAGGGCAACAGCAAGATGTTAGCCCTTCACATGTAAAAGCTAATGAATTGCAATTCAACCTTGCTTAAATACTGGGAAGGAAGCACCACCACTCCCAAGGGCAACCAGCTCCTTTACGAGATATAGGCAGAGTATCCCTTATATTAAATGTTTGAAGCCTGAACGATTTTGGATTTTAGATTTTTTGGGAATTTGGAATATCTGTTTTTGCATATACATAATTCAATATCTTGGAGATTGAACTCAAATCTAAACATGACATTAATTGATGTTTCATATATGCCTTATGCACGATGCCTGAAAGTAATTTTATATTCAATATTTTAAAATAATTTTGTGACCAAAAAACGTTTGTGTACATCGGATTTTCAGAAAACAAAAGTGTCATTATCCCAGTTACCTATGTAGACAAATTTGGAGTATTTCAGATTTCACAATTCTGGATAAGGGAATTGTACGAGACTAGCCATGTTTCATACAGTTCCAATATCCAAAAGATGGAAATGGCTAGGAAATTCAAGAGGGATTGGAGGGAAGGGTTGTCACTTCTGCCTGATAACACCTGTTGCCTAAGGCTGGGATCCTATGGGTGAGATACACCAGCATAATCCTTAATTATAAGACAGAATAGGCATTTTAGTAAACATTTCAGAAGAAGGAACTCACTACCCTCTTCTACAATGCCCACCTTCCTTGGCACAACTGCAGTCACCATACCCCCACAGCGAATTAATGACTGAGAAGCTGGGAGCACTGGGACCACCTTCCGATTGCAGCTGGGAGGCCAGGAGAAAGGAAGAGCCATTGCTCTCCTGGACCTCCAACTGCATTTTGGATCTACCACTAAACTATGTGAGCTGTACTTCTGTGTGAGCTACATAGGGGAATATATAACAAAAGAGAGCATAGCATGGTGATTGGAACATAGTTGGATGACATTTCTATAAGGTTTGAGATAGGCAGGTCAGGTGAAGTTGCTTAGGTAAGTACACTTACAGTAATTAAGTGACTAATACTGCTGTTTTTTCTGTAAAAACCCACCATGTGTGAATTTTGCATAGAATAAATCCTAACATTGCTGAAATTCTTATCTAGTTCATGATCATGTATCCTGATCTGGACCATGGATAGATAAGACTTGGATGTACCAATTGACACATGGGTCACTGTTCCCACCAATTCAGGATGTCCCCAATAGACTGAATTGTTTCCAACCATAGTGTAGGATCCTCCCCTGTGTGAGGGAATGATAGGCTGGAAGCCTCCAGAAGCAACATAAGGCATTGTCATTTAGTCCAGTTATACTTTGGCAAACCACGTGACTTGATGGCATGCACACACACAGGGTTACTGCAAGGAAGGAGGAAGGGGACAAAGTCAAATTTTAGAGAGTATTTGTCATTTTTGGTTGCTGCAACTGCTCATTATCTTTAACTTCCAATCTTGATGGGTACCTTCTGCCAAGGCGTCATACACATGGCCCTCATCTTCGATGAGCTCTGAATGCCTGAAGGAATCTGGAATAATGCCCCCCCCCCCCACAACTGTATTCTTGGATCCTGTTCCCCTACCCCTAATATTCCTGGCTCTTCTTGTTTTTTCCTGGTTGAAGAATCTAAACCTACATCTCATTCTACACCTCATTCTGCTTCCCGAGTTCAGCTACAGCACAGCTGTGGACTCAAAGGCTGGCAGATGCAGACTGAAATCAGGAAAGAAAAAGAAAATCCAACCATCTGTTACAAACCTGTGCTTCAGTCATTGCAAAGACACTCTGGAAATCAAAGATATTTGCTGAGTTTGGCACGGCAGCGTTTATGAGCTTATCTCCATGGAGCACAATCCTATAATAATAGGTGAAAACAAGACCGCTGTGTATTAGCCATCTGTGCAGTAATGGAAGAAGTCTGTTAAGGTCAGAAAGAAAACTCAGACAGGTTACAGTGGTGGCTCAGGTTAGCACAAAGATGGAATCACAATCTGAAACTGATGTTCTGACTAGGCAATTGCAATTCACACAACACTGCCTCCCTCTGCTTCTGCACAAGGCTTGTCTTACCAGTCAGCAAACTTCAGATGTCATGACTGTTAACTATTTCACTTGTTCAGGCAAAGCAGTATGAACTAGCTGGATTACATGATTGAATCAGCTCCCACCAGCTATGTGAAAGTGAGAGCGAAAATGGCGTAAGAGGAAATGGAGTCAAGCTTAACATCAACATCATATAGATGAGGAAGTAGCAGAATAGGCCACACAAAGAGGGGCTTCATCAGGGAATCCTAATGGTCCATTTCTACTGGTATTGTTACCTAGTGGGTCATCATTACTTGTACAATTGTGGTTACGTGTCTCTATACTTTCTTCACTCCCCAATATTTCTAAATGTCCTAGATAGATCTAGCTTTTGTGAGATCGGAACCCACCAGCCATGGTGATTTGAGGTAGATCAGCCTCAAAAGAAGGCAATGGCAAATTTCTTCAGAACAAATCTTGCCAAGAAAACCTTAGGATTTTTTTTCGTGTCAAGAGTAACTTGAGAAACTGCAAGTCGCTTCTGGTGTGAGAGAATTGGCCATCTGCAAGGACATTGCCCAGGGGATGCTCTGATGTTTTGATGTTTTACCATCCTTGTGGGAGGTTTATCTCATGTCCTTGTATGGAGAGCTGGAGCTTACAAAAGGAGCTCATACACACTCTCTCTGGATTCGAACCTCCAACCTGTCAGTCTTCAGTCCTGCTGGCACAAGGGTTTAACCCACCACCTTAGGATAGGCTTGTCCTAAGTCAGAATTGACTTTAAGGGCCATAAGAGCAACCAATGCAAGCTGTACATCCTTTGAGATCAGTCCTTTGTTTTTCAGGTAGATGTATGTTATACCATTGAAGACTGCCATGGAAAGTTCTGGCTTATGGGAATCCTGTGAATGTGACATTTTAGTGCAAAGATCACTTGGAGGAGAACTTCCCCAGGTGATTTTTTTGGGTTTTGCTATTGTCGATCATTGCAGGACTGTGCTAGGATTCTTATGATGAGAGATCACTAATCATTCTGGCAGCATCTGAGGCACACTGTTGGGAAAGAAAGCGTTATTCTGACTCAGGAGGACATTCATATGAGACATAACTCTCGCTTGCCAGCTGTGTCAGAAATAGGTTTAAGAGAGGCAATTCTGGCAAGGGCAAAAGAATGGGCAGAAGGAGATGAGTTGGGCCATCGGAGGGAATTGATTCATGTTGATCATTCTGCTCAGGTGATTATCCTGGCAGACTCCATGACCTCCAAATAGTTTTCTGTGTGAGGGAGTGCTTATAAAGGCCCAGTTGACAATGCATAGTCTTGCAATGGTTGGTTGCAAAGGCTGTTGCTGCATTGCTATATAGCTGTATAAGGTGCAGTAAGCAGGTTAGTTGCCCATTTTTTTTTTTCTGACACAGTATCACTTCATAGAGTCTCATGGGCTAACTTGTTCCACTCCACGCATGCCACAATCTGTAGTTTAATAGTAGGCTGTGATGCTGCCCAGTTGCTCCCACAGTAAAAGATCTAGTATATAATACAGAAAAGGTCAACATAACCTTTGGCTAGGGCTGGGAACTGTGAGGCCCCCCAATAGTGGACTGGTGAAGATGATGGGCATTTGTCATGCAATGAAAAATGCAATGGAAAACGGACTGTGGATTGGCTTTGGATTAAGTTGTTGATTGTTGAACTTGGATGATTTTAAATGGTTTTAATCTAACTTATTGTTTACTTATTATGTAACTGTTGTTTTATCTGTTGTGTATATGGGGCATCGAATTGTTGCCAGCTGTAAGCCGTCCTGAGTCCCCCTTCGGGGGTAGAGAAGGACGGGGTACAAATATTTGATATAAATAAATAAATGCAGTCTCTTGAGGGTCATGCAATCTTCACTGTGCCTTAGGTAAATGTTGATTTTTCCTGTGGTCATAACAAAGACAACTTCCATGTTGCTTAAAGAAACTTGAAATTCTCTTGATCCCGAGAGTCTGAACAACTATTAGCCAATATCAAATCTCCCCTTTCTGGCCAAGGTTCTGAAGCGAGTGGTTGCTTTGATGGTGGGAACAAGGGAGAGGGCCTTCTCGGTGGTGGCCCCCTAGCTTTGGAATTCCCTCCCCATGGAGATTAGACAGGCTCCTACTTTGTCCACCTTCCGGAGGGAATTAAAAACCTGGATGTTCCATTGTGCTTTCAATTAGGCAGTTTTTCAATGGAGACTCATTTCGATCCTATTCTAAGTCTTGTAATTTATTATGGCCCTCCTATCGGTTTATTATGACACTAAGGATATTCCTATTCCTTAATTATTTTAACCTTGCACTTTCCATTGGTCCCATTTAGGAAGCTTTGCACTTACTTGTACCTAAACCCAGCGTCTTTGTTATCTCAGCCATAACATTTTAACATTTTATCCTACACATTTGGCTTGCCCTTTGTATTTGATTTTTATTATGATGTTTTGCACTCTTTATTTTATTTTGCTATTTTATGTATTTTGTTGTGATGTAATTTTTCTGTTATTTTATGTTTAACTTTGCTGTATTATTTTCGGGCTTGGCCTCATGTTAGCCGCCCCGAACCCCCTTTGTGGAGATAGTGTCAGGGTATAAATACAGTTTATTATTATTATTATTATTATATTATTATAAGATTGTTTTATGATGATGTTTGTTATCGTGTTATGTTTTATTTGATTGTTTTTCTCTGTATTTGGGCTTGTCCTTTCGTAAGCTGCCCCAAATCCCCTTGGGGAGATGGTGGCAGGGTATAAAAATAAAGTTATTATTATTATTATTATTGACAAGAAAACACCAGACATTGTAGGTATCAGGCTCTGTACAGTACAGACTCATTGAGTGCAATTGAGGATTTTTTTGTAGAAGCCAAAATGACTAAACTGAGGCTATTGTACTTTGTAGACAACATGACTCACTCAAAAAGATGATAATGCTGGGAAAAGTAGAAGGCAGTAAGAAAAGGAGACTGCATTTCAGGTGGATAAACCCATTCAAGCAAGCCATGGTCCTGAGTCTGCAAGACATGAGTTGGACTGCTGCTGACCTCATTCATAGGTCTGCATTTGCTTAATGGCAAACAGCAGCAACAACAGACAGACACTATATCCCAGAATCTGATCCCAGGTTTTCTGTTTATTCCAGATTTTCTGGCAGAAAACCTGGGATCAGATCCTGGGATATAGGGTCTGTCTGGAAGGGTTCTGAGTGCAATACTGATAGGTGAGCTCCAAAGTGAGGTTTTACCTGTCATAGGGGCAGTGGGTGCTTGCCTTCACAGTTGTGTCAGTTTGGTCATCAATCAGCCAGATAAATTCATTGTGATTTCTGAGCCTGATGTCCTTCCAGTGCTTCCTTGCAACATAGCCACAGCCAGCATTAAAGTCTCCCAAGAAGATGAAATTCTAAACAGTGAGATTATGAGACAATCTTGAAAAGAAAGGAGCAGCACAGAAATGTAACAACATCTTACTTTTAATATTTAATGTCATTAGAGATGTTTAAGAGGATGAACAAGAGGGCCTGGCTGAGTTTCAGAACAATGGCTACTCCTCATATGAGCGAGTGTGCACACTACACAGACTGGCTCACAAATGGATGACTTTCCTTCACCTTCCCAGTCCCAATTACCTGCATACAGTATTGACAGATATCTATGAGGAACAGCAGCAAATTAAAATAGAAGAAAGTGAATAGGTGTGTGTGTAGACAAGGAGAATAGGAGAGATAAATGGACTGAAAAAACAAGAGCAACTGTGGCGAAAATGCAGCCCTGAGCCCACATGTGAGTCACCAGTTTTGATCCCTTCACACCCCTTGGGCCATGTTTTTTCATCCCACTAAAAGAGTGATTGTCTCTCCTGGGATCCTGTCATGCTGTACAACTATAGCACTATAATTCCACGTTAATTGCTTAGGCTGCATTCAGTAAATCCTGGAATCTGTAATTTGGTTTGACTCCAAGCATTCTGGATGAGAATTCTAATTGAGTTCTCTGAACTGCAAATCCTAGAATATCATTGGATGAAACCTGGAAGTTAAAGTTGAAAGATAGTGCTATTGTTCATGCAATATGGAAAAGCCTCTTTAAGCCTGCAGGACTGGCAATCCCACCTTCAGGTCTTCCCTGTAGTTATTAGTACTGAAAATTCTCAATTTCAAGAATTAAAGAAGCATTTTTGTTTTTTTGTTTTTTCCCCGTTTCCTTCTGGTATTTTTGGAAGACCATGCCACAACATTTCACCAAGGATCCCGGGGCAGAAAAAATAGCCCTCAGACCTGTTGGAGTTGCAAACTCCTAAATTAGACCTTTCGTTCTGAAGTGATATTACAAATTTCAGGACAGGAACCTTGTATGCTTTAATGAAAGTCAACCTTGAGATAGTGAAAACATGCCAGAGTAACAGTGACTAACCTCAGACACCCACTGCTGTTTTATATCCAGGTAAACATCATAAAGCTCATCAATTTCCTGCACAGCCATTTCAGGTGTTGTGTGCAGTGGGATGATCACAAATTCCCGGGCCACTTAAGAAATAAACATATTTGTTGAAGATTAATGACAATTATATCACCATCCTATAAAGATCAGAGAAATTGAAACATGTAATAAGCCCGCTATTATTGCAAAGCAGACCTGCTGATTTCTTCCAGTTTTCCTGTCCTGTGACAGCTTCCCGGGCAACTCAAGTGGCCTTCGGGAGAGTCTTTCAATGCAGAGGAATTGCTGTAGGAAAGGCACAGCAGCCTACAGTGGGATGCAGGAGCAAGGAAAAGCCAATCACAGGAATTCTGTTTTGCTCCTATATGTTTGCCTACAACCATTAGATACTGTGGATATTTGGATTACTTCCCTTATACACACATGGCACCTAATCTTGTTCAAGCATTACAGATCAGATTTTTTTCAGAAACAGAAAAATATGGTAAATTCTCTTTAAATATCTGAAGACCATGAAAGACCTCCTCTCTGTGTGTCTTACATTATATTTAGGTGGTTATAGCAATTTGATTACTAGAACTACAGTGAGCTTAACAACTCATTTTGTCTTTGTGACTGTTAGGGTCAGTACTCATGTGACATGTATCTATATGTCACATGTATCTAAACTCCTAGACACAGTTACGGTAATAATAATAATAATAATAATACTAATAATAATCTACAGTTCTTTCATTTTAGTATCTCATATATAATTCCTAGCTGGCCACCCACTCAGGGCCAAAGCCTCATTTAGTTTCCACAGTTGTTAAAACTAGATATAAATGCAGTGGGCACCAGGTATGGCTATAAAAGATCAATTCGTACACACAGCAAAATGGCACCATATCGAACACTTCTTAGCACTGCACAGAAGGAAGCACAGTAAGCCCTTTGTGAATATATTTTACCATAAAAACCCTAAGATGACACAATGCAAAATCAAACAAGAAATAGTATTAAAAAGATGACACCACCAGGTCTGAAGGCATATAATGAGCTATTGGGGAATAGCAGAGGACAACTATGAGTAGCACTGTGACAAATGATGCAACTGGGCTCAAGCCAAAAGGACATTCGGTTGTTGATGTGCTCAGAGGGAAAAGGAAAGTCCAAAGCTATTCAACACATGTCATAGGAACACGGAATGTGAGAAGCACGGATCTGCGGAAGCTAGATATTGTAAAAGAAAAATGGAAGGTATAAACATTGCAGTACTTGGACTGAATGAATTAAAATGGACACAATTCAAAGTTCCGGCCCAGCTTACCTGTCTGAACGTATCTCCCCCTGTGAACCATCTCAGAGATTAAGATCGTTCAGAGAGGCCCTGTTGTCGGTCCCACCTCCTTCGCAGATGTGATTGGTGGGAATGAGAGACAGGGCCTTTTCAGTGATGGCCCTTGGCTGTAGAACTTCCTCCCCAGCAATATTATATCAGCCCCTTCCCTCCTGACATTCAGAAAGAGGGTGAAAGTGTGGCTTTGGGATCAAGCCTTTGGCAAATAACACAGATGGACTTGGATTTATGTGTAATGATGGCCTGACTATGATTGCTGATAATGTGGTTTATAGTTGTAATTGCAATGTTTTATATGTTTTAATGCTCAATCTCATTTAAATTTTAATTGAAATGTTTATTTAATTGTATATTAGAGGTATATTGTTTTTAAGGCATTGAATTATTGCCTATGCTGCAAGTCGCCTTGAGTCCCCCTCAAGGTCGAGAAAGGCGGAATATAAATATAGCAAATAAATAAATCAAAATTGCAGATTTTCGGACAGCTCATTGTATAGTGTTGTCCTCAAGAAATGAAAATCTAAAAAGAAATGGGTGGTGGCATTTATAGTGAGAAGAGATGTAGCAAAAGCAAAAGGATATAATGCGAAGACTGCCTGAATCATATCAATAAGCCTTCAAGGAAAATCAATCAATGTAACCATAATCCAAGTTTATGTTCCAGCTATAGAGGCTGCAGAGGGGAAAAAAAGAAAAAAAATGCTGGTGTGAAGGAATAAATTGATCTCACATCAAAATATGGGTTACTGTTAATCAAAGGCAACTGGAATACAAAAGCTGATTTAGACCCACCACCCACTCTTTCACTAGGAAACCTTGCCAGTCACTCTCTCTCACTGGATCACTAAGGACTCTATCTCATGGGGAGAGGAGTCATACTACCATGATGTTTAGTCCTGTTGAGTTACAAAGCACATAGTTCAATTTGTCATTCCTTATCCCATGATGTTCTTTCTTGCCTTTTCTCCAAAATTATCCATTTTCAGATTTATCACACCAGAGAGAGTAGTTCCATACCCGACTCAATTAAAAAAAACTTTGGGGAAAAAACTCTGGAGATACTGGCCCCCACCTCCCCTCCTCCTGCTCTGCAGTACAACCGAGGCACTGATTTAAAAAGACAGCACTCTGGGAATACCAGGCATTTCAGTACTCTCCATTGCAGAAGTCCAAGAAGCTAAAACAAAGATATTTTGAAATGCCAGTGTTTTGAATGATTACATTAATGTAAAAAATATGCCAGGATCATGAAGCAGGATTTTGGGAGAAATATGCTTCATGGGTGACCGCCCACAGGTCCCTGTCATTGAAGCGATTCAACCTGGGCAAATACAACAACGTGGGCAAATTTGACAGTTCCTATCCAACGTGTTTTTGTGTGTTTTCTCAAGTTATATCCTAGTTCCTGAGTCCAGAAAACAATCTCTGACCGTCTTCTCCCCCTCATTTTTTTCAAATGTTTCAGATGTTTCCCTAATGAAACATGACAGAGCTGATAGGATGTTCCCCTGTGTCGTGGGAAGGCCTCTGTCATAAATTGTACCTTCAATGGAGTCTAAGTGTCTAGAAAGGTGGGGGAGTGTGGTATAAAGTCTTTAGAGAACAAAAATGGGAGGAAAGATCCTGAATGCTGCCTTGAGTTTCTTGAATGCCACTGGAATATAAAAGCAGCATAATAATAATAATAATAATAATAATAATAATAATAATAATAATATATCCTGCCACCATCTGTAAGGCGGCTTACAGATGTCACAAAGTGCCTAAAAACAAAACATAAGAACAAAACATGAGCACAATGTAAAATACAGTAAAATAAAACACATGCACATATAAAAACATAAACTCATACTCAACCAAGCTGTGGTCCGCTAACCATGGCAGTAAATAGCTGTAGACATACATACATAACCAAACAACTAACCAGTGTTTGGAGAAGAGAACCAAACAACAAAAGGCTCCCTGGAAAGTGCGTCTTCATTGCCAGGTTGCAGATCTGGATACTGATAGGTTTGTTTCACAGACACCATTTGTGGCCTGTAATATAATTTAACATATAGGAAATTTGTTAGGTGAAGTATGGAGCACTTAGTTTTGTCAATTTATGAATAGAGGCCACTTTTTTGTTTAAAGGAGACAATTCTAAAGGCTGCTAACAGTTAAAATCAGCCCTGAATCTCCTTGGGGGGAGAGGGCGGAATATAAAGTTTTTTTTAAAAAAATTATCCATAATTAAAAAACAGCAATGACAAGAACACAAAATGAATTTATTAGTCTGACTTTCTGGATGAGTAATTGAGGTTTTGCTAATGACCTAAAGCTCCAGCCAACCTCTGGCATGCTGTGTCAATGCAGTGAAAATCTGTTCAAGCTATAACCTGGGTCTGAATCATGATAGCTTCTTTTTATGTGTTCGGTGTTATGTTTAAAACACAGCAACAGAATATATAATCCTAGGAGGCAATTACATTTGAGAAATGCTAGAAAATGCAGTGCTTTGTCAAATGAAGACAGTGCAAGACAGTAGTAGGGCAATCTGGAATGTAACAAAATGCCACATTTTAATGGCCCCACAAGATGTAGAAGCCTTCTTGTTACAAGAGGGGTTCCCCCCCCCTCCCTTTCCACTTTTTCCTTGAAAAAGAAAAAGGTCAAATGAATAAAACTAGTCTTTTGATCTAAGCAATATCTAACAAACCTATCATGCACATAAGTATTTTTACTGTCTTTGGAGAGTAGCACAGGAGGCAAACTATCAATTTCTGAAATATCAATTGCTGTAAAAGGTTACTGCCATTTAAACTAGTGTATAAGTTGCCCTCATGTATAAGTCGAGGGCAGATTTTTAGGCTAAAGTTGTGGATTTTGATATGACATATGCCTAAGTCGGGGGGGGGGGGGGGGGGGGGGGGGGGGATGCCAGTGCTGCCTGGGGAGGCTTGCTGCCCATGGATGCTGCTGCCATTTTCCTAACCAGGCACTTAAAAAGGCATTCTACACAGAGAAGGGACGCTTCCTTTTTTGATAAAAGGTACAATATTAATATAAAAAAGGAATCATTCCCCTCTTCTACTAGAGTGGTAAAAGGTGAGAGTTCAGTCCATCCCAGGAGAATCTAAAAGAAGCATTATTCTGAAGTCCTGGGGGTCAATCCCCACAGCCATCTCAATTCTTTGGGCTCCTGGAGCCTGAAGGAGAGGGACCACACCCATCCTCTCCGCCCTAGTCTCCCATTTCTCCCCCAAAAAACTTACTTGAGGGGCCTGCTGCCAGCGCAGGACCCTCTGCAGAGTAATCCTGATGTGTGAAAATGGCACTTCAGGAGATGGTGGGGGAGGGAAATCATTTTCACATGTCAGGAGTACTCTGCAGAGGGAAAATTAACAGGGGGGAATTGGGAGGCTAGAGTGGGTGCTGAATGCATCTAGCTACTCCTGAAGGAAAACCCGGGGTTGTGGGAGGATGTGGGGACAAAACCTTGGGAGGAACTGAGTTAAAATAACCCAGTTCTTCCTGTGATTTTTACCATGTGGAAGGGCCCTAAGAGAATATATGTTTCACCTGAATTTTTAGCTGATTGTGTGATTTAGCGTCATCTAGCCACCTCCCCTTTTATCCCAGTTTCTCTCAGATTTTAGGTCACGTGTAGAAAGGCCCTGAGTGAATCCTTGCAAAGAATTACACTGCTTATCTGATATCAGTCCTTGATAGACCACAAGTAGAAATGCTTAATGGTCAAGAAAGTGGCTCGTGTTATATAAACTATGTGGCTCATGTTATATAAACTATTTCATAGTTCACAAGAGGTTCATAAAGTCCAGGCTTCAAAGTCAAACCCTGTTATCTGGCAGACCAGATGTCTGTGATCAGTGTCTTATGGCTGTTATGTCTTATTTTTGCAGCACCTTCAGAAGGTGTACAAAGCTTATGTATAAAATATGTCTTTGTCCATAAGGAATGAAAAATTTAAATAATCCATGCATACAACAGGCCATGCTAACTTATCTTCTGGAATTGTTCTAAATACTCATATAATCAGAGAATTTACTTACCTGTAGAAAAAAGCATATTGCTCTTTATAGCTCTTTCTCCCTAGTCTTCCACTGGCCACATAACGGTATTGTTCTTGCGAATGTCTAATGTGGAAAATAAAACTGATTTTAGTCGACACATCTGTTTTGTATTCATTTCTATCTCTGTCTGATATCTCTTTATCTGTATTTAAGAGGCAGAAAAAATAAAGCAGTGCTCTGTGGTCCTGGCTCTAACATCTGGAGGAATGTCTCAGTGGTTAGTTATTTGAGGTGCGGGGTGTATTATTCCAGCTGTAGGCAACCTGGCCCCTGCCAGATGTTTGGGACTACAGCCTCTGTGATAACACCATTCTGACATTATCTCTCATCTTGTTGTCTTCCTTATTGTGTATAACAGCGGTTCCCAACCTGTGGTCTATGGACCACCAGTGGTGCGCAAGAACTAAAATATACTCTTCAGTCTCACTTTTACTATATTGTTGCAATGAGAGTGACTGGTCTCACGAAACCTTCTTATAGTGCCGAGGCTTATTAAATATGGTTTTCTGTGGACAAGCAGATGGCGACTACATATGTTCTGTATTGGAAACTAGAGCTGATGTGGTCTATCCAATGCAATTTTCTGAATCAGTACCCCAAATAACCAAATCTTATTTGTAACCCTTTTGGTACTAATGTTGGAGAGTGGTCCCTGGTCAAGTGGTCCCCGGTCAAAAAAGGTTGGGAACCATTGGTGTATAACAACCTTCCAAAGTGGTCAATTTGACTAAGTATACCAAGACAACAAATAATCAATATGGTGAGTTGGTGGGCAAGCTTCTGACAAGGTTGGCAGAAGACCTTTTGCACAATGAGACCTTCTAAACTGAGGAGTGGTCTGAAACCTTCTGATTGAGAATTTTTTAAAGTAAAACAGCATTCCAGTAAAAACCAGAATGTCCATCTTTCATTGTTCTTGTAGACCCTTGGAAGAGAGAGGAAAGGCAGAGGGGGGAATTGGTTGAGGCTTGTTGGATATCAAGACTCCAGGAAGATTGGAGCAGATGAACTTGGCCCCAAATGCATACATCCTAGCATGGATAGTAGAGTGACTATGTCATTAAGACATGTTAGGGACATTTTTGTTAATTTCTGTTGTTGGCATGAAGTAAGCTATTGTTTAATCTTTTTATAACATAAAACTGTAGTAGATGACACTCCAAGCTGAATGATGCTCAGATTAGTAAAATGTAACTTTYTTATTTTGAGTAAAATGAATGCGTACCTATAGGAGGAATGCCCATTCCTTCACAAATAAAAATCTCTCCCCCCCCCCCCCGATGTCTTCCCCCAAGGAAATTTCACTTCAGTCCCTACATTTCTAGCATTGCAGTAATTTAAAACTTCAGTTGAGTATTTAGAAATAGTTGAAGCACTCGAAGAAAAGGGGTGGAAAAGAGAATATGAATAAAGCAAATTAAAGAATTCTAGGTGTGAACCATGTTCAGTGAATCACTCTGCAAAGCTAGAAATCTGGAGACTGAAGGAGAATTTAATTTTGGGTGACAGAGTTTTTGTTCAGGGAGCAAAGCCCCTTGGGGTCCTGAAAGGCGGGCTATAAATATAGTAAATAGATAAATAAATAGCCCTTGTTCCTTCCCACATGAAAAGATGTCTTATTTTTCTTTCCTTGATCCTGTGTCTCTTGACTGCTTTCTCAAACTTATGATTGACTGATCAAACTTATGACTGACTGATCAAACTTATGATTTCCCAGGGTGAAGAGAACCACAGGACAACCGGAGTTCAATTGAAGGGGGATGAAGCAGGCAGAGTGGTTATCCAGAGTTCCTTTACAATCTGCCTTTATCTAAGAGGCCCCAAAGGGAGGGAATATACCATATATACTTGAGTATAAGCCAACCCGGATATAAGCCAGAGCACCTAATTTTACCACAAAAAACTGGGACAATGTATTGACTCGAGTATAAGCTGAAGGTGGGAAATGTAGCAACTACCGGCAAATTTAAAAATAAAAATAAAAATAGATTCCAATAAAATTACATTAATTGAGGCATCCGTAGGTTAAATGTTTTTTAACATTTATGTAAAACTGTAATTTAAGTTAACACTGTCCAACTCTGACAGTTAAACCATTATTCTAACCTTCTTCAATGTAAATGTGCTTGCACATCCTTCCAATAATAATCGAGTAAAATAATAAATGTAATAATAACCCAATAAAATAATAAATGTAATAATAATAAATCGAGTAAAGTAATGTAAATTTAATAATAATAATAATAGAGTAAAACAATAAACGTAATAAAATAATAATAATAACCCAGTAAAATAAAAAAATAACTTTGACCCAAGTAAAAGCCAAGGGAGGCTTTTTCAGCCTAAAAAGGGGCTGAAAAACTCATCTTATATTCGAGGATATATGGTAGTTGTGGCAACTGCTAGATTACTAAGCAAGTGGAGTGACGACTGTGAGAAATATATTCTCACCAAGGGTGTTTGGCCTCTGCCTGATACTGCATGTTTAAATATTATTCACTTCTGTACCTTACCCATTTAGTTTCTCCAACAGAAAGGGACATAATCTGTTTCTGTTATCCTTTATTTCCATCAGTAGCATGATGTCGCAGCGAGAAATAATCTACAGGAGTAAATAAACAGTGTCTTGAAAGATGTCATATTTAATAGATTTAAAAGGGCTGGAAGGCATGAGAAGAGTTGAATGACATGAATAGCATTTGTCAGCTTCAGAATTTTTATATCTATGAGAAATTATAGGTTTTTGAATCCTGGCCTTTCATTCAGCAACTTTACCATGGGCCCTGTATCAGAATGAGGGCAGAAATAACATTCTGAGAGTAACTTTGGGAAAGCACTCTCATATTTCATTATAAACATTCATCTCTTTATCTATAGTCATAACATGTTAACAGACCTGTTCTACAAGGGTGAAGTGGAAGCTAGCTGTGAAAACAACAGATTAGCCAGTTGTGAGACCACAAAGAAGTCTTCTCTCCCAATTCCCAGTGCAGTTTTGCACTTTAAAAATGTTTTACCTCCTCCTCATTATTGTCCTTCTTTTTCCTCTTCTTCCTCCAGAAATGGGACAAATGACAGGGCAAACATGCAGTTGCTGTTGTTGCTTTTCAAATATAATTTTAGAAAGTTTCCTTAATGCAGAGCCTTATTTTTTTCCCAATGAAAGGATTTGGAAAGTCTATTAATCACTTCTGTCTTCCAAAATGAACAAGTATTTATTATGCCAATTTATATGTTTTTAATATCATTTGACAGGCCAGAGAAAGACATTAAAGACATACTGTGACTGTCTTTCTATATTTCCTCTGCCTTCATTTAGATTGATTCCAGTAGTGCTTATGGAGGCGAAGGCAAAACAACCCATGATAGGTTAACTTTTCCCTTTGCCTGTGACATTTCATTCCATGGGTATGATGAACTTTTGAAAAAACGGAGCTCACTCCAGGTCCTACTCATTCAAATTTATGTTGCTCATTTTAAACATGCTTGTGTGATTGAGTTCTACTGAAATGAAAAATTACAGGTAAAATCTGGTTGTCATTAATGGAATTGATGTATTCTTGAGCATTTTTAAAAAAAATGGTACCGGGGCAAAAGGAGCAGGCAAACATATTTCAATGAACATTTTATCCAAAACCAACAATATGTGTATGTGAAATGAAACAAGCAGGACAGGTAAGCTTGGCATAATAAAAATATGATGGACCTTCTAGAGGCTATTTGAAGGTCTCTCTCCCCCCCCCCCCCCCCCCCCCCAAATGCATCCTGGGATTAACTTTTCTTTCACCAGATTCCACTTTTTTTGATGATTCCAGATATTATTATTATTACTTTTTTTTATACCCTGCCTTTCTCACTGTGAGGACTCAAGACAGCTAAGAACATTTATGGATCTACAACAGGAATGTATTGTCAAAAGCTTTACCAGGAATGACTGGTGGTGCATGCTTGTCTGCTCTTCTCTTTTTTCTTTTCAGGATGAAGAGAAAACATTGGTGAGTACCTTCTGCATTTGTTTGCTTAACCAATTACAGATCCACCTAACCGTAGTTTTGCCTAGTTCACATTTGACCAATTTGTTTGCCAGAAGGTCATGGGGGACCTTGTCAAAGGCCTTACTGAAATCCAGGTACGCTACATCCACAGCATTCCTCACATCTACCCAGCTTGTAACTCTATCGATAAAAGAGATCAGATTAGTCTGGCATGACTTGTTTTTGATAAATCCATGTTGACTATTAGCAATGACCGCATTTGTTTCTAAGTGTTTGCAGACCACTTCCTTAACAATCTTTTCCAGAATCTTGCCTGGTATTGACGTGAGGCTGACCGGACGGTAATTGTTTGGGTCATCCTTTTTTCTCTTCTTGAAGATTGGGACCACATTGGCCCTTCTTCAATCTGCTGGAACTTCTCCCGTTCTCCAAGAACTCTCAAAGATGATTGCCAATGGTTCCAAGACGACTTCCGCTAGTTCCTTCAATACTCTTGGGTGTAGTTGATCTGGCCCTGGGGACTTGAACTTGTTTAGAGCGGCCAGGTATTCCTGGATGACTTGTTTCCCAATTTGGGGCTGGATGTTGTGAAGAACCCTTACCTTTATCAGCCAGAATGTGGGCCTAGCGAAGCCTGTTGGCCTGAACAGTTAGAATGTGGGTCTAGTGAAGCCCTGGCGGCCATCTTAGGATAGGGAAACAGGGAGATGCCATCTTAGATAAGATTTTCTTGGAGGGGGCATGTCTTAGTCCAGTAAGCAAAGAGTAGATGGCCAGGATTGGTTAGGAATAGGGGGAGGAGCCTAATATTCAAATAGAGGAAAAAAGTGTACTTTTTGAATTTGAGGCTTGAGTTTTGGCAGTTGGGATTTGTCAGTTGGGAGTTAGGTAGTCGGTTGGTGTTCACAGTTGGATAGTGCTAGATAGGAGAATTGGGTTAATCTTTTGTAGTATTCAAGGGCTAGAGGAATTAGCCAGGAATACTGACAGTGGGAATAGGACCCTGCTTATGGTCTGTTTCTTTTATTTCTGTGGAAGGCTAGTCCAAGGTTGTTTGGCTAGATTCCAGAAAGTGGGAATTTGGTTTGGAATTATCATCAGAGATTAGTTTCCTGAGATAATCTCCTGTTTGTTAACTCTAGATTTGAACCCAGTACCCATCTAAGAATTGTACATCAAACGTAACCAAAAGCTTTTGTGCCATTCACTTACAGAAACCATTACGTATTTGTACCAGAAGATTTTAAGCCTGTTAAATAAATGTTTTGTTATAGTTAACACATTACAACAGCCTGTGTGTGAACGTCATTGGTATTTAAACCCTCTGAGGAAAATAAACACTATAGTAACACAGAAGGGTATTACTAAGTATCCTCTCCACACATATAACTCAGCCTGAATACTAAGAAAAGGTGGCAGCATACCTCAATTGAAGAAACTGTTACAAAACCTCTCAGTTTAGATGTCATTCAAATATAGCTATACATAGTTATATCTTTCCCGGTCTGATAAATTCAAATTATTTAAAATCTTCTCTACTCCTCGACCTTCCTTCCTCCCTTAGTGTGATATAGCTTTATAATTGGTGGCACACCGGTGTGATCCTTCCTGGGATAATCCTTATAGATGTCCTCTAATCCCTCATCCACTTCATCTTGCTGAGGAATTCCTGTTTGAACACATTATGTTCCTCTGGTTTCAAAGTGAAATAACATATTTTAGACACCTGAGAGTTTTATTGCAATTTAGAGCCATATTGGGAATTGAAAAGCTTAGCTGAAAACTCCACATGGAATAAATTAATGTTTTTATTCGGTACCTATTTAGCTAGTAGTATAGCCTTATTCTGACCCCTACATCTGAACAGACACTTATAATCTCATCACACTCACCTAAAAAAGTGTCCTATGATGGGTTGTTGTAGGTTTTTACGAGCTATATGGCCATGTTCTGGAGGCAATTTTTCTCCTGACGTTTCGCCTGCATCTATGGCAAGCATCCTCAGAGGTAGTGAGGTCATGATGCTTTCAGCCTGTCCTCTGGATGGAGCCTCATGCCAGCCATCACACAATGTTGTGTAAATTCCAGCGGAGGTCCTTCCCCCAACCAGGGTGAAAGTGTCACCAGCGGCTTCCCCCACAACACAGTAATTCTGTTTAACTAACCCCTTATAAGAGATTCATACAACCATTCTCTCTCTCTCTCTCTACATACATACATACATACATACATACATATATATTAAATGATGTATAATATATATGTTTAAATAATATATATGATAAACTGGTGACCGCTGACTGCTTGATTGTTTTTATACTGTTTTATATTGTTTAATACTGTTATTATTATATTGCTGTTAAATTGTATATTTATGTTTCTGATGTGGGCGCCATGGGGTACCAATTTGTTAGCTGTCCTGAGTCCCTCTGCGGAGGTTGAGATAGGACGGGATATAAAAGTCTGAAATAATAATAATAATAATAATATAATAATGTACTACAGTTCATTCTTATGTAGTTTCCTCTATAGGTGCTCAATGTGGTTCATCACAAACATAATTGTTACTGGATTTTCTTGTCTTAATTAGAAACTTAGCCATTTTAGTGGCATTTACTGCAACTCAATCAACAAAATTTTGCAAATTCTAAAAGTGTCTACACCAGCCTTTTGGGTGGTGGCGGAGGGAGCATTTCTCATGTGACATGCCTATGGACTACAGGTGACTCAGTTGTGTGTCTTGACACACAGTTTGGAAAGCTCTGCCTTAGAAGCCTGAAATGGATTCCAACTGAGCTCACTGCAGTATGAAGATGATATACATTCTTGCTTATGCGTATCACATGTTCCAAAGGGCTTAAATCAGCTGTCTCCTGGGAGGACATGTTATCATACAATCACCTTTCCCTGCATCTTCTCTTATGATAATTTCTCCTCAACCAAACCAAATACGTAACTGGAATAATGGAACCAAATCATGAATACCAGTAATAAAACTGAGAACAATACTCTCTCATGTATATCTGCATTATGAATACATAAATCTTACCAACTATAGAACTGCAAATTGAATTTTACACCATTAGAAACACACCAGATGTATTAGTGTCAACAATGCACTAACTTGGAACTCCATACTGTAAAAATAATATAACCTGAAAGATGAGTTAGATAAAAAGACCTAGCATTCATCTGAGTATTTGTGCAATTCCAGAGAATGAACAACATACCTCTACAATGACATCCATGATTTCTGGTCTTGTTCTTTTAGCTTCTCCAAATGACCTCACATTGAAGGAGCAGATTCTTATGCTCAGAGCTGCATTGAAAGCAAAGAGCAGAAATAGAGAAATACGCAACATCTTTCAAATGTGGCCAAAAGAAAATACAGTGAGGTATGCCTCCTTCACTCAACACTCACTGTATAGAATAACTCAATGGAATTGAACTGTTATATATTTCACGGCCGCTATGCAAATATGAGGCAAGTGACAGGCTTCCTCCACAGTCCATTTCTCTATTTTCAGATCAACATCTGTTGTTGAGGAACTTGACTTTCTGCCTTGGGGATTGCCTGAATTCAGAGGCAACTCCCACAATTGACTCAGCAAAAGTGAAATCTCAGGAGATCCTATGGCCTGAAGTATGCCTAGCAGCAGAAAATTCAGTTTGTCCCAGTCATATACAAATGGGAAGGATCCTGATTTATAGACCCATGGGAACATTCAGTTGTGTGCAACTGAAACTTTGTCCTTAGCACTGTTGGAGTTGATTTTTTTTTAAAAAACTGGATAAACAGAGCTATTTTTCAGTTATTATGAGAGGTGACTGTAGCTGTAGAATATGGTAGGTAAGTGACATGATGATTTAGTAACCAAACGGTCAAGTAATACTTTTCAGGGTCAGGATGGAGATTTATTTGTTGTTTTCATCATCCAAATAAAACACAAAATGGAGAAGTATACAAAAACAGAGATGGAAAGCAATTGAAGATCACACTGATGACTTCCTAATTTTGGTTAAATCTGACTTATGAAACTAATTTATGGAACTATTTTTTTCACATCAATGTCAGGATTTTTGTAACAAAAGAAGTAGTTATATATTAAACTGAATGCATATACAAAGCCCCAAACATTTCATGCATCTAATCAGGTTCCAGGGTAGCACTTAAGTGCTGCTCATCAGTATCGCAATCTTAGGGGTAAATCTTAAACTCCTAAATAAAAGATACAACATGATAACAAATATTCACTAGAGATGGAGCATCCCTTATCTGGAATTCTCAAAACCAAAATACTCCAGAACCTGAAATTGTCCACATGGATGGTCGAGGCAGTGACACCTTTGCTTTTTGATGGTTCAGTGCACACACTGTCTGTTTCATATACAAAATAATTTGAAATATTGTGTATAAAATTACATTCAGGCTATATGTATAAGGTGTATAAGGTATATATGAAACATCAATGACTTTTGTGGTTTTTCTTGGGTCCTATCTCCAAGATATTTTATTATGCATTTTATGCAAATATAGGTACTTGAAAACAACAACAACCACAACAAAGCAAAAACAAAACCCAAACTGAACACTTCTGAAAAACCTATTGCCTTATTCAAAATGAAAAGTCATAGTCTTTATATCTGGTCAGTGCAAGATCTTTCCTTTCCACCTAAACCTCTCTTTCAGAACTGAACTTGGAACTGCCCCTCTTGGCCACATCATAATTCATACGAGTTGCATTAACAAGTGCTGAGGTTAATAGTCATGTCATTCCAGATGTTTCTCATAAGACTTTTTGGTTGTTCTCTCTAAAGCCCCTTTTTAAAAAATAATAATATTTTTATTGATTTTCTTAGAATACATCAATACCTTCAATACTCTTATATTGCATCCTTAATTCATTACATCAACTATAAGTGTATATATACCTTGTATATATATTTCTTTCTCTCTAAAGTCCTTTCTACACTGCTATATAAAATCCAGATTATTTGCTTTGAATTTGATTATCTGGCAGGGTAGACACACATAATCCAGTTCAAAGCAGATAATGGTCATTATTTGATTTGTTAATGTGGATTACACGGCATTGTAGATCCAGCCTGAGGAAAAAAAAAAGAGGAATGAACAGTCATGAACAACACAGATCTCTACATTCTGGGCATAGGATTTCTAACACTGGAAGATTTTCAAAGCTGGAAGGCTTTCCCTCAAAGCTAGACTCTACAGTGTTGAGAAAAAGAAAAGACCAAAGGGTATGATCCTTTTTCTTTAATGTGGAGGAACAGAAATCTCTGCTAGGATGCTTAATGTTCACAGTTCAATGGCACCTGGGTAGTGCTGGTGTATAGCACACTGACCAGTCAGTGACCAGGGAGTGGAGTTCCATTTTGGCATGTCACTGTGAAACCAAAGAAGAAGAAACAGCAAACGTGTGGGAGGATGAAAGCTGTTCTTTCCCCCAGGTGTGTAACAGTAGCTAGACGGCAGGCAGATGTAGTGCCATTTCTGAGTCTTGAATCAAAGAAAAGAGCTCATAACTGGACAAGCTGGGAAAAGGAGTTAATGCCTCCTTGTGCAATGACTCCCCAAAATACTTCCACTGGTACAACCCCTGAAAAGGCCCAAATACTCTGAAGGCCTAGATCCTTTCAAAGTTTTGAAGCTAAGCAGGGTTGGGACTTGGATGGGAGATTGCCAATGAACCCCAGATTCTGTAGGTTGTGTTTCAGGGGAAGGAATTGGCAAACCATCTCTGGGTATTCCTTGCCTAAGAAAACTTTGTCTTAGAATTCACATACATGGGCTCACACTTTACCTCTGCAAATATTAGGGAAGTAGTGAACAAAGAAAAAAATGAATTCACACGGGGAATTCATAGCAGAAGTAAAAAAGGGATTTCCAAGGGGGAACAGGCGAAGTTATTGTGTAGCCAGCTGGCATTTGTTCTAATCCTCTGCAAGGTAGACAGGAAGTCTGAGGCTAGAGATAAGAGAAACAACAATAAATACAGTGCAGTTGGCTTCTCTAATAGCCTAGTAGGAATGGATCTGAGTTCAGGAGAGGACGATCAAGGAAAAAAGCCAGATAGAGGCATGTTGTGAATGTCAAACTGGGACCCTCTCATATTTAAAAACTAGCTCTGATTTTATCTTTCCATACATTGTATAGAGTAAAAAGTAGTACCTGGCTATTTTTGCTAATTAAACTTTACAGATTTGTACTTTCTCTAATAATTCTGAGGATCAAGGAACATTTGAATAAGAACGACAACAACAACAACAACAACAACAACTTTATTTATATCCTGCCACCATCTTCCATAACGACTTGGGATGGCTTACAAAATAGCACACAAAGATGCCATACAAAAATACGTAATACATAGAATAAAATACAATAACATAAAAAGTTGAATATAAGTTGAATACTGACATAACTATTTTTTAAAAAACTGGGTTGCTGTGAGTTTTCCAGGCTGTATGGCCATGTTCCAGAAGCATTCTCTCCTGACGTTTTGCCTGCATCTATGGCAGGCATCCTGTGAGGTTGTGAGGTCTGTTGGAAACTGGGACAAGGGGGGTTTATGTATCTGTGGAATGTCCAGGGTGGGAGAAAGAACTCTTGTATGTTTGAGGCAAGTGTTAATCTTACAATTGACCATCTTTATTAACATTGAATAGCCTTGCAGCTTCAAAGTCTGGCTTCTTATTGCCTGGGGGAATTTTTTGTTGGGATGTGTTAGCTGGCCTTGATTGTTTCCTGTCTGGAATTCCCCTGTTTTTGGGGTATTGTTCTTTATTTACTATCCTGATTTTAGAGGGTTTTTTAAAAATACTGGTAGCCAGATTTTGTTCATTTTCATGGTTTCCCCCCTCTCTGTTGAAATTGTCCATATGTTGTGGATTTCAATGGCTGGACACAGCATATTATTTGAGAACACAGAAATCCTGGCCCACTCTAACAACTATCATGTCCGACTACACAGAGCAGCCATTGAAATCCACAAGCTTCCTTGGGTCCCATTCTGGAAGAAAGATGGCATACAAATCAAACAAACAAATACAGACTCCAAATAGAAATGGTAGTAAAGGTGGAATACAAAAGCAGTAAGACATTTCAAATATTATATATCACTGATGGATACTCTATATTATTTAGTTTTTAATCTAAACACTCTTGATGGATATCAGTATTTTGAGACTTACAGTAGCAGCTTGCTTTACTGTAACCATTCTTGGTAAAATGCACTTATTTATGGGAATGAACAAATTTGTCAGTTTTGGTTTCCTCCCACATTCAACATGTTCTAAAACTAATGCCCCCCCCCCCTTCTCCTAACTGTGACAACATTTGCAGATTTGGATTGATTCTTATTGACAACGAACTTAAACAATTGCTCACCACCTGCGCTGGCTGAACATAAATAGATATATAACTATTCCCATTGTGGTGGGGACCTATGAGGCCCTTCTAACTCTAAGGGTCTCAGCATTTACTGTTTTATCTGTACATGGAAATGCTTACTGGCAGCATGCTGATGATTCGTGCTTTGAATGCAAATGTCGCCGTGTCCTTTCCTATGAGATACTTTTGCTGGCAATGGGAATCTCAAAATGTCATTTCCTTCATAGCTGTTACTCTGTAAACTTGTCTTTGTTATTGTCAGCTACAAGAGGCTCTTAGCCTCTTGGGACTGGGATATCTTGGTCAAGAAGAAGTCTTCATTAAGTCCAATGTGCAAGAATATGACCATGTGTATGTATGCCTTACTTTTCTCACTACAGAGGTGATTGTTCAATTCTTCCCTTTGTTACAACTAACCTCCCCCCCCCTTCCACTGGAGAATTCACTGTTTGCTGTAATAGTCCTCCCGCCAATAGCTATTGAGTGACTGACAAAGAGTGGAGGAGGTTTGAGAAGCAGAACAATGGCATCATCTGGTGAGACCTCCTTCGGATGTTGGTGGGCCTCAGCAGATGATGCCATTAATCTACATCTGCTATAGCAATGGACCCAGATGCTTCTCTGACCCCTGCTTGCTCTCTACCAAGCACTGAATAGCCAACAAGAGGCTGAATATGTTAAATGAAAAGTTGGCTTGGTAAAATCTGGGGATGAGTTTTCAGAGGCGAAACACAGCTTGGTTCCAATGGCAGAAATGTTATGTTACATCCTGCTGTACAGGATGTTGGGTGCAGTCAGTGTTGGCTCGTGGTTTGCACATCAGTAGGGCAGCCAATCCACTCTGGGTTTTAGTCCACATCTTAAAGGAGTCTCTAATGTGCTGGATTTATTTCAGCAATGGAATTGAGAACCCCGAACAGCTCTGTCATGAAATCTACCTTTGAGACGACAGGGCCGAAGCCTACATGACAGTAGCTGTCATCTTGGAAGGCAGGCAGGACAGGAGGAGGAGTCAAGCCGACTCCTGATTGGGTATAGCAATGAGGGGAGGAGTCGGTTGTGAGAGGGAAAATAAGCTGCCAGCTTTTGAGAGAGGGGAGAAGTGTCTTAACACCAGACAGGGAA